GTTCGAATTCACGACTATTCTCACCTTTTCGTGATACCTGCATGATGGCAGGACTCACGTCTGGACTTCCGATGAGGCGGAATTTATTTGCGTTGCCCGCTCCTTCTGGAAGCAGTGTCACCGTGATCTGCACGGTCGGCTCTTGGACGTTCGATTTCATGTAGCACGTGAGCATCAAATTGGGGCCCGCGTCGCAACCAAGTGCAGGTGCTCGTGACCCTGCTACACGGCGCAGTAAGCCCTGCGACTCAAGGTTGGCCCGACCACCCATGTCAATGCCAAGCGGGACAAGTTTGCCATGGTGCGCAGACCGCGCCCCGCAAACCATGCAGCTGGCGTTGCAGCGCTGCTTGCGCTTGCCCCTGCCCCTGAGCTCGAACCGTTGCGGCCCAAGCCCCTTGCTGCGAGCCGCAATGAATCTAACGTCGCACGAGCCTTGTTGCCTGCGCAACGGAACTCAGGATGCACATGTTACGCCTGTTACCCTCGAAACGTGCAGGTGTCGTAGCCAACGAAAACGCAAACACTTTATGCACCCCGCAAACTATAGCAACAACATGCAACAACCACACAAACGGCGCTGGCACTGGTCATGGTAGCGGTAAAAAGTGAGGAAGCATGATGAAGTAGTAAGTGTAGCTGTCGCGCGGATAGTGCTAGAAAACAAGGGCTCGCATTTGCTAGCATTTGTCCTTCGCGCTCTGTCGCAGGTGCCCGCAACAGCACAGGGATTGATGTGAATTGTTTTCCAAGATCAGTTTTCGTCCATTCATGTTTCCGAAAACCCTCCTGCACGGCACTTGCATCCCCAAGATCGAAAACCTCCGTCAAGTTGCGGCCGTCGCATTGCAATAGTGGCGAACGGCTTGTCACATGTGGTTCAACCGGCTGTGAAAGGCATGTGACCGCGCTCTGCCAAGGTGGTTTTTTAGCCACCAACCCATATCGGGGAGTCAAAGGCAAGGGCGAGCACACCAGGTGGGAGAATGCCCGCGAAGTTCCAAGCTCTTGTCCATTTATAGAAAAAATCAGGGCCTGAAACCACCGTCCACCATCAGTGATTCATGGCGAAACCGCACCCCTCCCATCTAGAGAGTGCAACGCCCTGGTGGC